AGCGAACGGAGTCCAAACTTGTCCAGTCAAAGGACGCGCTGCGGGAAAAATGATATTAGGAACTCGGAGCGACAGAGCGTCCACCTGGGGCACTTGGCATGCATACGCCTGGCACGGTGGGTGCTCCGTGGGGCGCTCCTACTAGTGTCCTTATCGTTTGTGTGAGTGTGTGTTGGTGTGTGATTCCGGATTCCCTGGCCTTTCGTCCCGACGGTGACAGCGTTCGCGTTGCGACCCTGTGCTCTCTCGCGCGACCCAACATGCAAGTTATAGGCCCAGCGAGAGCAGCAACGAAAATAAAAGCAAGACCGGGGCGCAGGGCAGCGAGCCCCAGTGAGGCCCTCAGTGAGCAGCAGCAACAGATGCACGGCCAAAACAAGGAGACCAGCGCGAAGCGGCCCGAGCGACCGAGGCTCAATAAAGCTGGCTTCCATCATCATCAATTCCACTCCCTTCTTCCACCTTTCCGTGCCATTTTTATGTCAGCCGGGCTGCACGGGACGAGGGAGAAAAACAAAACCAGAAGAAGAAAAAAATGGCACAAAAATGATTTCATGTTGGAATTCATAAAGGTTATTTACTGGCCTGTCGCGGTTCAATTAATTAATACGAGGGAGTTATTTCACGTTTCACGTTCCGAGAGACAAGTTGGGCCGTCTTTTGGTACGTGAGGCGCTCCGCGCTCCCTCGGCCCGTGCGTCCGAGCGTCCGCCCGAGTGCCCGCCTGCGGCCTGCCCGCGCACCTTTAAGGGCCCCACAATGGCCGAATTCAGACGGCCGACATGCACCGGACAACCACACGACACCGTTAAACGGCCTAGGGTCCGTGATTTTTTGCACTTATGTATTCCAAGAGATTCTAAATGCTCTTCCCACCTCAGAAGCCATACATGGCGATATTTGATAATCCAAAGGCATTCCGTAGGGAAGAGGGGGCGTCGTCAGGTGGGTACCGCATACCCTTCCCTACGGAATGCCTTTGGATTATCAAATATCGCGGATGTATGGCTTCTGAGTGTGGGAGAGAGCATTTAGAATCTCTGTGGGCATATATAAGTGCAAACCACGGACCCTAGGCCGTTTAACGGATGTCGTGTGGTTGTCGGGTGCATGTCGGCCGTCTGAATTCGGCCATTGTGGGGCCACCTTAAGCCCTGTACTACTTTGGCTCCATTGACTTGCTGTCTGGACGGACGCAGATGGACGGACGGACGGACAGACACGGTGGGCCGCGCGCAGGCGCAGTGAATTTTTATAGGGCATGAAACAACTTTGTATGGCCGTGATGTGCAATCTAAAAGCCGTTCGGCGCGCTCAACGCGCAACGCACTGGCCAGGAGTAAATTAAGGGCGATAATGGCCCGGCCAGCTTGCTTCGAGCCTCGCGACCAACAAGGTGATGTATGGCCCCAGGTGGCGCCATCGCGACAGCGCGACAGCGGACCGTTCTCACGGGAAGGCGACAGGTTAGGTGAGCCCGGGTCGGCGGCCTGCCCACAGAGGTTCTAGGGACGTGCTGAGCTTCTACTGACTGCTGGTGGACGAGGACGAGGACGGACTTCCTGGCCAGTTCCGGGTGCAGCCTCACAGGTGGATCCCGACGCCCCGCCCGCCACCTGTGGCTTGCCCCTCGCTTGCGCCTTGCTTGCGCACCGCGGCGGCGTGGACCAGTAGCCGGTGGCGCGGCGGGGCCCCTGGCGGGGCAGCGGGGCCCCTGGCGGTCCTGGCGGGGCGCGGAGCACCGCGGCGTAGCCGGCGTAGCGGATCCCGCGGCGATGACGGCGCCCCCGTGAGCCGCCGTCGGCCGCGCGACCACCTTGACGACCTGGTCCGCCGCCGCGCCGCGCACGCGAAGCACGGCCTGCTGCAGCATGCTGCTTTCACACGCCGCACCGCGTCGACGGGCTCGTTGCAACGGCCAGCTCCGCGGTACATGCGCGTCTATCCTCTATCTAATCTAGCCGCGCGACAAGCGGTACATCTATCCGATATCTATCCGGCAGTGAATCACGTCGATGCGGTGGCCGAGTGGACACGCAGTAATTAGCCGGGCACTGCAGGGACTGCAGGGACTATGAAAAATGGGAAGTTGTTAAAAATGCCGGTAGGGGGCAGTCAGAGCGCCTGCAGTGCGCCTGCGTCGAGTGCAGCGGAGCGGAGGCGGCCCGTTGGGGCCCAGCCACTCCGTGGCAAGGCGTGGCACGGTGCGACTCGGTGCGGCGCGCCGTGGCAGGCACGGCGCGTAGTGGTCGTGGCCGCGCGCCTCGGCGGCGACGTCCAGAAATCATTTTTCAGGACGCGCAAGCGGTTTACACGCACCGAGATACAAGCGTTACGTGTCGTTTTTTCGGCCCAGCCGCGTGCAACCGATAACCGAGGAATCAAGTGCTCCAAGCGCGTGGAACGCGTGGAACGGGGAGCGGGATGGCTACCTCGATGCGGTCGGGGCAGCGATACATCACCATCCCCGCTCCCGCGCCGCTCGCCTCGCTCGCCTCCGTCCGCAACTGCGCATAGTTCCATTTCTCCAACCCGGCTCTGCTTCTCTCTGCCCGGGCCGCCCATTTGTCGACCAGTCTTGTGTCGGGGCATAATTGAGTCCGGACCCCCCTGGGCGAGGCGGAGGCTCCTCCCGCTCCCTCCCTTCCCTCTGCTCCGTCCCATCCCGACCGCATCCCGTCCTTCCCGTCCTTAGGTTTAGTGCCAGTGTAGCATGTGCAAGCCCTCTGAACTGAAACTCTATGACATCCTTACTTCTCGTTCTAGTAGTGTACAGATGGAAATGGGATGATAGACTGTAACTCGGGGGCATCTATACTACTCATCCCGTTGCACAGACGGCCATAGGATAGACTGTAACTCTGGGGCATTTATACTACACATCCTAGTGCCTAGAGGACCATAGGACGTTGGACTGTAACTCTGGGGCATCTATACTACTCGTCCACCGTCCCTCCCCCAGCCTTCGCTCGACCCCGCCAAAACAAACCCGGCACGCTGTTGCTGCGCCTGCCAGTGCCCGCCTGCGCTCGTCACACTGTTAGCCCGGCGGAGGGCCGTGGCTGGCCCGGGCCGTGAACGTCAGGAAAATGACGAAGAACAAATAAAGGAGCCACTTGGCGATTTACGGCGCCATCTTCATCCGCCGGTTTATGCTGGCCGAGATAGAAACATCGGATTGGGTAATTGGACTGTAACTCTGGGCTTCGAGACATTCGCTGCCTGACGTCACCGGGGATTTACGCAGTCTCACTTCGATCGAGTTTGGAAAACCTTTCGGCACTATTTTTAGGGCGGCAGGCTCCAGCGGTTCCGTGTGCTTTCAGGCTTCCGGACGGACCTCGGTGAATACACGGAAAATTTATTGCAGGTCTTGAACATTTTTCGGAAACAAGAAAGGAGCCTCCTCACAGCCCTCCCACTTCCCCTCGATGCATGCATAGATAGCGCACGTTGCATCACAATTCATGCCACCTTCATTTGCGATTTTGCGAACCGAGATAGACTTGTTAGTCTGACGCCAGGATAAGGATGAGGCAGTGCACATGCCTCCGAAATAAAAAATTGGAAAATGACCCCGAGTTGTTGGAACTTTTTTTACACAACTTTTCGGGAGTGACTCTTGTGTGCCCGTGTATGTGTGTGTCAGTGTGCGCGCGCGTTATTTTATTTTAATATGTGTGTCAGTGAAGAACATCCAACTCTTAAATCATCTTTCTTGTTCGTCACGTCTCGCCCCCTCTCTCCGGGCAGTATCAGTGCTAGCCCCCTCTCCTCTCCGTCCTTTACTTCTCTCCCCCCTCTCTCTTTCCCCCTGTCCACGTCCTGACGGCTGCTCATTTGCAATCCAGTGCAGTGTCTGACCACTCTTTCTTATGGAGTAGCCCCGGTTATAAATACCTTGCATCCGGTATTGTGTCTCCCCATTCATGGAGTTACGGAAAAGGAGAGGGAGGAGGAGAGAGAGAGAGAGAGAGAGAAAGAGAGAGAGAGAGAGACAGAGAGTCCTAATCTCCCTATAATCTCTCTACGTTATGATTGCTGGCCGGTGAAATCCCCATACCGCACGCACGCGCGTAGTCGCCTTGTCTCTCCTCCAAAACGGTAACAATGACACACGGTGCAGAGTGCAAATGCAGCTTCCAAATGTCTTTTGAGGGTGACGGCGCGCGGGGAGCGCCTGGCGGGTAGGCAGCGCTGACGCTCCACTGCGCGACGGCTGCCTAGCCAGCACGGCGATTGGCTCGGGGCGGCTGCCTCGTCTTCCTGCACTGCACAGCTCGAACGCGGAGCAGAAGCACGTGACGATAGCGGCCTCGATAAACAAGCCGCATAAAGGTCATCGCGCCGGGTCGCGGCGGCAGACGGCTGCTGGGCGTTAGTGTCTCTGGACCGCGGTGCCGCGGCAGAGAGCCAGTGATACCACGGCGCTGGCCCGGCGAACACTGCAGAGCACTAGCACCAGCGGCGTCTGCGTTGGTGAGTCCGTTGCACCTAAGGCGGCCACTGCGGGGTGCGAGTGAGCACCAGTGCACCTGCCACGCTTTGACGCTTTGTTTTCTGTGACGTCGAGATTTCTATAAGAATGTAAGGACTTTCTCTTTGCAATTTCCGCGCTAATTATGACCGTGCTTTTTAATAGTAAATTTAATTTAGTTTCGTTTCTTGAATTAATCGCCGTCTCGAGATTCCAAAATTGTTTAATACGACTATAAATGATCTTTTTTTTCTGGTATGTTGATAATGGGTGCCAGCGCACTGTAAATCGTCAGTCCACACGTACGCATTTGGTTCTGCGCCCTTTCGCGGAACAGAACATGACACACTATGACACACTCCCACACTCTGCCGGGCGGCGCTTAGCGCTTCGCTTCACGTGATAGTAAACAGACCGCTGACCGCGGCGTCCGCGGCGTCCGCGGCGGGCCACGTGACGCGAGGCTAGGCGTCGCGCCTCTATAAAGGCGCCGGGCCGCCGGGTATCACTGTATTACTTTCAGGATGACCGCGAGGCACGCTTGGACGCTTTTGGCAGCAGTGCTGCTCGCCGCGGCCGCCCGCATGGACGCGGCCGTCGCGGACGTCCCGTCCACCAAGTCCCTGGTGGTCAGGGCCGACGCCGCCGACAACGAGCTCTGGTGGCACCATGCCATCTTCTACCAGATCTACCCCCGGAGTTTCATGGACTCCAACGGGGACGGCATCGGCGACCTGAATGGTGAGTGAGGTGGGCGTCAAGCCGTCACCATGCGGGAAAAGGGAAGGCTGGAGCTTTTGGGGTCGTGTCTGCTGACTCTGCCGATCTCATGAGGCGCTCCCTATAGCCCCATGGCCACGGACACCCTGTCATAGGGTGGCCCCTGCCCTGCGGCCCTGCACTGTGCGCTTCTTGCGGCCGGCTTGTCTGGGTTATTTTTACCTTTGTGGCGAGGGCGGGCGCGGCGGCCGGCACCTCACCGCAGCGTCCTACTGTACACTGTCCGCGGCTACGCCATGCTACGCCATGCTACGCCATGCTACGCGGCGCGCGGCCTTGCCCGCCGCACCGGAACGCAGTGGCGGCAGAGGTGGCGCCTCTCGCTGATGACAGTGAGGTGCCACAAATTACGTGCTCGACCTCGACCTGTTGTTGTCATTTCACACTTTTTCACACGCTTTTGTCCCGAACCAAAATGAGACTCGCACGGCCAAAGCACGTGTGAGGAGTGCCGCGCAGCGACGCGGAAAAACAAAATTGTTTTTTGACTGTCACGTTTTTCTCGCCGGTCATAGGTATTACGTCCAGACTGGAGTACTTGAAGGACATCGGCGTGCGCGGAGTCTGGCTTTCCCCCTTCTACCCGTCGCCCCAGAAGGACTTTGGCTACGACATCAGTGACTTCAAGAACGTCGACCCGACCTACGGCACCCTGGCGGACTTCCAAGAGATGACAAAAAAAGCTCACGAACTGGGTGCGTTTGAGTCCAAGTTGAAGTGCTTCCATCGTGCGTTTGGACAAAGACTTACTCAATTTTCGTTTCAGAACTCAAGGTTGTGGTTGACCTGGTGCCCAACCATTCGAGCGATAAGCATGAATGGTTCGAGAAGTCGGTGAACAGAGAGGGCAAATACACCGACTATTACGTCTGGGCCGACGGGAAGATGGTCAACGGAGTGAGGCAGCCGCCCAACAACTGGGTAGGAACTTTCAGGCGAGGAGGCCAATTTGTGTGTCGAGAGACGGTTTTTCTTAAAATGGATCCACCATTTTTGTCACAGGTTTCGCACTTCCGCTTCTCCGCTTGGGAGTGGAACGAGCAGCGCGGCCAGTACTACCTGCACCAGTTCGTCAAGGAGCAGCCTGACCTCAACTACCGCAGTGCTGATGTCGTGCAAGAAATGAAGGTGAGTTTTTTTCATTTTTCAGTTTACTGCAAACAGTTTGAAAACACAATTTCTTTTATAAAAATGTGACGCTCTACTTGTCGTGGACTAGGACGTGTACACCTTCTGGATGAACCAAGGCGTGGACGGGTTCCGTGTGGACGCCCTGCCCTTCCTGTTCGAGGATGCGGCCCTGCCGGACGAGCCCCTCAACACGAACCAGACCGACCCGGAGATCACCAAGGACGACTACGACTTCTACTGGCACCCCTACACCATGGACGACGACGGCACCTACGACATGCTGCAGCAGTGGCGCGAGGTGGTGGACAAGCACCCCGACAACATGCCCAGGGTCATCATGACGGAGTGCTACACCACCTTCCCCAACACCATGAGGTACTACGGCACCAAGGAGAGGCCCGGCGCGTCCTTCCCCTTCAACTTCCAGTTCATCAGCAACCTGGACAAGTCCTCCAGCGCGACCGACATCAAGTGGCAGATCGACCAGTGGATGAATGCCATGGACGACACCCGCTGGCCCAACTGGGTGGTGAGTGCATAGTGCGATGGCATGCATGTTGTTGCAACGTAGGACGAGTTTACCCATTCTATCGGTGTTCCAGATCGGCAACCACGACAACCCCCGCGTCGCCACCCGCTACCCGAACATGGCCGACGCCATGAACATGATCTCGCTGACGCTGCCCGGCACCGCCATGACGTACTACGGCGAGGAGCTCGGCATGACCGACGCCTTCATCACGTGGGCCCAGACCAAGGACCCCTCTGGCATCAACGCGGGACCCAACAGGTACCTCAAGACCACCAGGGACCCGTGCCGCACGCCCATGCAGTGGGACAACACCACGCCCAGCGCGGGCTTCTCCACCAGCCACGAGACCTGGATGCCCACCAACCCCAACTACTGGCAGCTCAACGTGGAGGCCGAGAAGAAGGACCCCAAGTCCCACCTCAACATCTACAAGGACCTGACCGCCGCCAGGCAGACGGACACCTTGAAGAAGGGCGCCTTGGCCACCAAGGTCCTCAAGGACGATGTCCTCGTCATCACCCGGTGAGTATCCATAACTCACTTTGGCTACTTTCTAGAAAAAAGTTTTGGTCAGCGAATTAACGCGTTATACCACACGGCCACATGTTGTTATTGTCCGTCTTCTCCTTTCCAGGTCCCTGCAGGACAAGGACACTTACATCACCGTTGTGAACGTGGGCAGCTGGGCCCAGACCATCGAATCCAACGACCTCCTCGCTAACGCCAAGCTTACAGTGTACTCCGCCAGTGCCAGCTCCTCCCTCAACAAGGGGTAAGTTGCTTGCCCTGCCCCTGCCGTGCTTTCGTCCACCACGCTTGTGTCCGTCACGCTTGTGTGTCTGTGTCCGTGTGTCTGCACAGTGATGCGTTCCCCGCCAAGCACACCATGAAGGGCAAGGAGAGCTTGCTTCTTGTGTCGAGCCGCTGACGTTGCCGCCCTCCCCGTTCTATGTGAGGCAGGTCTGACTTTGTTTCAAGTTTGCAGCCAAAGCGGTACTGGCGCCTGGTCTGACCGCGGCCGTTCTGTTTGCAGAGATGCCTTCTCGTCCGTGACGCTGCGCCCCAAGACCGGCTTCGTCGTCACGACGGGCTCGGTGACGGTGTCCAGCGCCTCCACCGCGCAGACGGCCGTGCTCCTGTCCGTGGTACTCGCCTTCCTGGGCCAGCTGCTATGATCCGCGCCATCTCAGACAGTGTGCGTGCTTCTCTAAGGCTGTGTGCGATTTGAGATTGGATGTGTGCGTGTGTGTGTGTGTGTGTGTGTGCGTGTGAGTGTGTGTATGTGTGCTAAATTCGTGGGAAGACTACTGTAGAGACTGACTGAACACTCACACTAGTTAAGTTTTTCGTCCATTCGTTAAGTATTTTTATAAAATAAAAGCTATTATGCAAAGTATTGTTATAAAATTTTGTACTAAATACCCAACGCGTTTTCTAGTCCAGAATTTTTTTGTCACGTCAACTTTGACTTGTGATGAAGGAACGCTCTTCTTATTTTTTGAATGCACAAGCAGTTGCTTATTTGCATAAGGTACAATAGGAATATAAGTTCAAGAGTTCTCTGTTTTCCAATATAATTATATCACTTAGAAGTTCACAGGACTTATATGATTTACAATTAAATTACATTCCACAAATATATTACACGATCTAAGATTTGTACATAGTGGGCGATTGGCATTCCCGTCCGTTAAAACTCTATTCAATGATAAAAAATCATGGAGTGAATCATTTCAAGCAACAAAATGAAAACTCTAAATCACTCTTAAATAACTCTCTTACTCATAATATTACAAATTGTACATTTTATTTCATAGATCTGATAAACTAATTTACGTTACCACACAAGTGCTTCAATTAGAACTAGGTCACTGGGACAATGAAAGACTAGGAATAACCAGCCGCTTCTGGGTCATTTGCCGTGCTGCAGCCGCTGTCTCTCTCTGCGGGAGTCATTTTGGAGCGACACCGCGGCGTCGCGGCGTCCACGGGCAAAGTAAGCGGACCGAGAAGCGACCGCGGAAGTACAATTAAATAACAGGCGATACAGTCAGGGACTTCCCCTACTTCTTATTGATTACATTTAAAAAAAATTATTAAAAAAAAACAGAACAGGTACAACGAAAATAGTTCCTCAGTTGACGATCACAGGAGCTCGAACAGGCAGTCCTCGGGGGGCTCGGCCTGGTGTCAGTAGGCGGTGGCCGCCCCGCTGTTGAGGTGGTGGTGCATGAGGTGGTGGTGGTGGGGCGCCGTCAGGTGGTTCAGGTGGTTCAGGGGGTTGACGGGGGAGTGCTCGGCGGAGGGCGGCGTCGGCATCCCTGACTGGCACACGTACCACTCCGACAGGTTGGTCTGGTGCTGCTGCTGGTGGCTCTGCTGCTGCTGCTGCGGGTGCTGCCCGAGGTGCGGTGGCTGCTGCGTCGACTGCTGGTGCAGCATGGTCTGGTGGTGTTGGTGCATGGCGGGCGGCGTGAGCACCGTGTGCGCCGTCACGTGGTGGGGGCCTGGGAAAAAGGAAATACCAGTCAGTACAAGGCGATCACGGCTGCCGAGCGCCGGAAGTGTAGGCCACCCCTCGTACTCGCAACAACACTACTCACCTTTGTAGTCCGCCTGCTTGTAGTCCTGCTTGTAGTCCTGTTTGTAGTCCTGCTTGTAGTCCTGCTTGTACTCGGACTTGACGTCCAGCGGCAGAGGGGGCGACGCGGCGCCGCCGGCCACGCTGATGGAGCCCGCCGACGAGCTGTTGGACTCCTCGCCGTCCGAGTCGTAGCCGTGCGTCGGCGACTTGCCGCCGGACGTGCTGGACCCGGAGCCGCCGGAGCAGCCGTGGACCTGGAGGGCAGCGAAGGCGAGTTAGATAGGTGGCTTCCAGAGTCACAGCCACGCTGCAGCGCGCTGCCGAGGACAGACCACGGGCCTACCTTCATGTGCTTCCGCAGCGACGACGGGTGCGTGTAGGACTTGTCGCAGCCGGCCACCCTGCAGTTGTAGGGCTTGTCGGAGGTGTGGACGTGGGAGTGCTTCTTGCGGTCCGACGAGTTGGCGAAGCGCCGGTCGCAGCCAGAGTACTCGCACTTGAAGGGCTTTTCACCTGCAACACTCAGACAAGGACCAAGTTAGAAACCGAGAAACTCTTTTCTTTCGTGACGCAGCAGTCGATGGAATGTGCTATTCTGCGCAGTATTTTTATCCAAGCAAAAGACTGCTCTTGTTGCTTTTGTTTTCCAAAGTCGGCTGCGCCTCGTGAGGAGGACCGAAAGCCAATTTGGACACGTCTGGCCAGTCCACGGCTCCAAGGCTGCACGTGGTCTATTCTTGATTGATTGAACGGGGGGAGCAATTGATCGACGTGGATCATCCCGGGCCCGCTCGGCCCCCCGGCCCTTACAACCACAAAACAAAGGGGCGTGGCGTGGAGGGGCGTGGCGTGGAGGGGCGTGGCGGGGCGTGGCGGGGCAGCGCTCCACTGTTAAAGATTTCCCCCACAGAACTCGCGCCTCAAGGCCAGGGACTTCATCCCTCGGGGCGCTAGACGCATGCTCAACGCAACCGCCACACAGGCAGCCAAAAAAATGCTTTAATTGAAATTCCCAAGTGACCGGTCGGCATCGCGAGTCGCACTCCGCAGGTCGCTCCGTCTCTCTCACAGCCCTTCGGGGCCTTCGGGGCCTTCGGGCCGCCCCACGAGTGCGAGAAGGACAGCAGCCTTCCTCCGGAGCCGGCCCGCCGCGGCCCGCTGCCCCGGGGGTGACTCCACTTCCACTTCCACCCCGTCCATAGAGTGCAGGGGAGTCCAGGGAGTGAGTCGCCTGCAGCCATGGACGCGCTTAGTATGCAGAGTGCGCAGGTGCGGGCACACTGCAAGGCACGCCCAAAAAAGACCTCACTGAACCAGGATGATTTACTTGGGACACAAAGCTTCCTCGAATGTTTCGAGTGAATTCCCTGGTTGCTTGTAAAATCCCCTGGTTCAAGAAAACCCCTTTTTAGCCGTGGAGGCGTCACCCTACACTGCCAAAAAATGGGGTCTTTATTTTTCCATCCTCGCACCAAGCAAGGACCGAGCACGGACCGAGCAAGGACCAAGCAAGGACCAAGCAAGGACCAAGCACGGACGACGGCCTGCCCAGCCTCCCCATTACCCATGCAGTGCACTGCATTGCACTGCAGTGCTGCTCATTGAGAGGCGCGATTTATTGGCTCACACCTCCAGCACCCCGCTCACCACCTCGAGCTCGTCGTGGTGCGTCGCGGTGCGTCGCGGTGCGTCGCGGTGCAGAGGGGCGTCGTTGATTTACAGCGCAGCAATTAGACGCCCTCGCGGCCGCGAACGAGAACACCCCCACCAGGAAGTCCCGGGCCTGCGCGTGTGCATGCCGTTGACCCAGTCCGCATCTCTCTGCCCCTCCGCGGCGCTCCTCCAATGGAAGGACAGAGTTCACCGCACCGATAAATATTTTACGTTTTACGGCCCGTTTTCGATTTGGCGCCACTTCTCACCTGATGGCACCGCTTGGCAAGTTGACCGCGCCGCGTTGGCGGTTCGGAATGCACTGACTTATGTCACCAGCGCCACCGGGCCGCGCCCGCCCCGCCCCGCCCCGCAGCATCAGCAGCAGGTCTCGCCTATTCATTGGCAGGGGCGCGGGGGAGAAGAGGGAGGGGGGGGGGTGCAGCCACCGGTCTATAGTTCAGAGAAGTGGCATTGTCTCGCGGGATGGTCCAACTGCATCGACGCACCCAAGCAGTCAATGCCGTGCGGTACACTGCCAGGAGGAGGCCGTGTCGAGATTCGAAGCGGCTCTTGGCGCGGACTGTACTCCACGGCATTGTTCCGGGGGATGGCCATTACCACTGCCGGGTCGCACTTCAGGCCGCCCCTTCCGGAGTCGGAATTAGCAGTCGATTTGCGAAACGGGGTCGCGGCACCGTGGCCACTGGACCTCCCCTCGCCTGGCCTCACATTGTAAGGTGGTAAACGCTGCTAAAGACCGGGGCGGGGCGGGGCGCCCCCTTCCCAATCAATGAGTACAGTCCAAGCGCGCACAATCAGGGACGCCTTGACATGACACCCGTCCGGGCCGGAAGCAATAGAACGCCCCGATGCGCCCGGCACACTGTTGTCCCGCCGAATTGCGTGTCCATTGAGGGTGCCCCGCCCCGCCCCGCCCCGCCCTGTCCTTCCCGAGAATGGGGTGCAAGTGTCACAACGGCGATTGTTGTTGTTGTTGTTATTGTAGCGCGGCCAGGCAGGCCAGGCCAGGACGGCCGGGACCTTCCTGGAAGCGGACCTTGGCTTCTTTGCAGCATTGCAGGCCACTGCGTCCGTCCCACCCTCCCGCTGCCCTGATAGGCGTAGCGTGGCGTAGCGACACATCGCCACGGACACGGAGCCAGGCAGCCAGGCCCACCCACACGCGCCAAAAAAAGCAGAAGAGCAGAGGAAAAAGAAGAAAGAAGACAAAGGTGTCGATGAAGGCGTGGACCACGGCGATTTAAATAGCGGCCGAAGGTCGAAATGCTCGGGAATGCCACGCTGCTTGCTCTAGAAGCTGGTCGTGCCTCAATCGAAAGCGTGCCCCACGACTGCCACGCCGTAAATTGAGTCTGGGAGGCGAGGGGTCACGACCCACTGCAATGCCGAAACCCACAGCTCGGGTAGGCAATGCCGATGCCAGGAGAAATACCAGAATCACTGCGAAGTAAAGGGTTGTGGCAATGCCCCCGATGCCACGCCACGCCACGCACCGTCCCAGCGTCCCACAGGACAAGGCCCTACTCGTCCTGAACTAATAGTCGGACAATGCGTCCTGTTTGACTGCAGTCTGTGAAACAAAAGACGACTGGTGCAGCCCGCTGGCAGTGTGCTGGCAGCAGGTACGCACAAAAAAGAGAGAGTCGCGCAAATGGGGATTCCTGGAATGGCGTCCTTGTTACGCCAGCCACAAAGGCAGCCCCCGTGGTCCCGAAGTTCGAAACACCGTCATTGTCCGCGACTCATTGACGCGCCAGTCTGAGGCAGTCTCGCGCAGTGGCGTGCTCATGCTCAAACGCTTCTCATCTCTAAATTTCTCATAGACTTCCGGGTGGCCTCGCGACAGGCACTGCACTGTCGGGGCGCCTTGGGAGTTGGCGCACACATTGGCAGGTGAGACCGCTTGGTCCTCTCTCCCTCTCTTTTCTTCGAGTGTCAGTGAGAGTATGCGGGGGCCACACAGATTGTAATCGAGAAGTCAACGGCCTATACCTCGCTCCGTCACACACACAACACGAGCAGCAGGTAGATCGTAAGGTACGAGCCTTTTTAGCAACCGCACAGTAGGAAAAAAGGCAGTGACTTGTCTGCGGCCTGCACGTTATGAACCATTTTTTTTATCGTCCGCCGTGAGTGACACCCGTCAGCTGTCAGTCACTGCGGTCATCGAGGCGGCGCGAGGATTTTCATTGGATTTTGGAATGAGCGGACAGATAATATATAGGGACCTGCGCGCGCACACACGCACTCACGCACCGCAGGCCGTGCACGGCAAAAATAATTAGTTTGGAGTGAGGCGCTTTTTGTGCGAGTGTGAGTTGTCGAGTGAGTGATTCTACTTTTTTTTTTCTTTCCCGGAAAGCAGATAAATCTTCGTGGAAGCGATGGTGAGCGGCAGCCTCCCCGAGGAGAAGAGGGAGAAGTGGTGGAGGGGCTCAAGTGCTTGCGGCGGGGCGGCGGGGCGGCGGGGCGGCGGCAACATGGCTGCAGCCCACTTGTTGCAGTGTGGGCGTGGCTGGCGAGGCAGCGCTAAGTGGACCGGGAAACAAGTGCGGGGGAGGGGCGCTTCGGAAGCCGCACCGCAAGCTTGTGCTGTGCCGGTGAAACGAGCTAAACGGTCTAAAAACAATAGAAAGCGATGAGTTTGGGGAGCATGTTTTTAGACGCTTCGTTATTATTTTCGTCTTCCAGTCCCTGCCCGCGTGTCTGCGCGTCCTCTCCAGGATCAAGAGCACGGCCTACAAGCGTGTTGATGTCACGCCGAAAGGATTATCCCTCGAGTAGCGAGTGATTGGCCCGGGGGCCGTCCGGGAGCCAGCGGGTGCGCAGCCGGGGATTCGTGTGAAAATGGGATTTTGGGGACTGCTAAAAAAAAGTGTAGTGGAACGAGGCCTGACGTCTTCACCTTGGGCCCATTGAGTGCGGCTAAGCCCGGCCAGGCCGTGGCCAGGCCAGGCCGCCACCCTTGCCCATTGAATGGAGCCTAATCGGCGAGCCTGTTGTTGCTGCCAGCCAGACGCGCCATAAGCCATCCACACCGCGCTCGGCTCGCTCGCTGGAAACCTATTTAGCATTTTCCCCAGCCCCTCCAGCCTCCCAAAGACACACAGACAGGCGGGGCCCAAATACGTGAAAATTTTTGACACGACCGCGTAATTTTATTTCGTTCGCCGGGGAAAGGGGCGGACGCATTCAGGAAGAGTTATGTCCGTGGCTCCTTTGTGTCCCGCTTGACTGTTCCTGACTCTGCCTGAGTCTGCCCAAGGCTGTGCCTGGCTGTGCCTGGCTGTGCCGTTTCTCCAAACGTTAGCGTTTATCTCTGCCTTCCATTCAAAAGATTCCTGACCTGGCCCATCCGAGCTGGCCGCACCTCGGCGAGCGCACACACTGCCAAAAAGAACGCCACACGGCCGTGCATTAATTTTGGCAAATTGAAGAAAGTAAAATTCTACGGCCGAATCTTGGGTTGCAACTGCTGCACACTGGACGTAATTGTTTGATGCAAATTATCGGGGGAGGGGGGGGGGGGTTCGCGTGAGAAAAACACAGCGGGTGGGGCGGGGCGGGGCTACCTCCACGCACGTCCGCAACGACATGTTTCCAAACATCGGCCGCCCCGCGCCGCGCCGCAGTTGACGGGTCTGCAGGGGGCACGACGTCGAGGCGGCCCAGCATGCACGAAGCAACCCCCCCCCCCCCCCGCCACCGTCTTTTCAAATTGAAGCAGCGCGAGGATTCAAACTTGCCACTGCGGCAGGACATCCGCTGAATCAATTCGTCGTCCGGCCGAGACACCGCAGTGACCCGCCCCGCCCCGCCCCGCTTCAAAGCGCGCC